TCTCCGACTCAGAGGATGGAGGGGCACTGGCAGGGCTGTGGGGCAGGATGGAGGGGCACTGGCAGGGCTGGGGGGGAGCCCAGGGCTGTGGGGCAGGATGGAGGGGCACTGGCAGGGCTGGGAGGGAGCCCAGGGCTGTGGGGCGGGATGGAGGGGCACTGGCGGGGCTGGGGGCGGGATGGAGGGGCACTAGCGGGGCTGGCAGGAACATGCAGCACAGCTGGGTAAAGTTGGGGTGATGAGTTTCTTCCAGTTTCGGCACTGGAGGACTCTGCATGGGGCAGCCCCAGGGGAGCAGCTTTCGCCCAGGAGGGGAGAGGCCCATGGCTGCATTGGGCCTGGGCTGTTGGACACAAGCTGCACTTGGCCATTCCCTGCAGGCGCGGGAGCACCGGGCTGTGCGCCATGGCGATGCCCGAGGCTGCCCCCAGCATGCCAAGGGGCCCTGGCAGAGGCACCCTGAGCTGGTGCTGCCTGATTCCAGGCACCAGTGTCCAGACACAAGTGGGTGGGGAGGGGGTGCAAGAGTTGGGCTCCAGCCAGTGTGAGGCCAGGGGCTAACCCCGTCCCCTGCCAGCCCCCCGGCTGCCCCACAGAGCAGCTCAGACCTAGGATGGGGAGGCAACTGGGGGGCTGCGCCAATGGCTAGTCTGCTCCTGCCTCCCCCCGCATGGCTGCTGGCTGACAGGGCCACGCTTCGCTCGCCCCAGGGGCCAAGCCACAGCTGCGGCCATACGCCTCCCCCCCCCCGGGCTCTGCCACCCCCCCCGCACCCGGGCTCTGCCACCCCCGCACCCTACCCCTGCCCCCAGGCTCTGCCACCCCACCCAAGCCAACCCCCCCCAGCCTCTGCCACCCCCCCGCCCCCAGGCTCTACCACCCTCCCAACCCCCCTTCCCCGCCCCAGGGCTCTGCCACCCGAGCCCCCTCCCCCAGGGCTCTGCTATCCGACCCTCCCCCGGGGGCTCTGCTACCCTATTCCCCCCCTAGGGGCTCTGCCACCTAATTACCCCCACTCCAGGGCTCTGCCACCCTCTCCCCTCTCCCCCCGGGCTCTACCACCCCCCTCCCCCAGGGCTCTGCTTTATGACCCTCCTCCCCCCGGGGCTCTGCCCCTGAATTCCTGTCAGGGCCTGACTCCCAGGCCAGCGCTTTGCCACCTGATCCCGCCCCCTCCCCCCCAGGGCCTGAGTCCTCTCCTCCCCCCCCAGGGCCTTGTCTTCTAATCCTCCCCCCCATCCCAATTTGGTCAAAGGAGCCCAAAGCCAGGCCCAGGGGCTTGGGCTCATATTCTGAGAGGTTGGCCAAGTCTGCATTCCCCATTTCATGCCATTTAGGGCAATGTAGGGGATCCCCCCAAAGACGGGGGGGGGGGGCAGAGCAGGGCCTTGGAGCAGGGAGGGCGTGTGGGGGCAGAGCAGGACGCCAGGCGAGAGCAGGCGATGCAGGGGTCTCTGGGGTAGGAGGGGGGCCTGGGGCTGGGCAGAGCAGTGCTGAGTGCAGAATGTATTTATACCATCACCTGCGCAGAGTAACAACCTCCAAATAAAACAAATGCTATTTTGAATAGTGTGGCGTCCTGTGAGCTGTATGGGGGGGCAGGGGAGGAGTCTCAAAGGCCACCTGCGGGGGGAAGAGGCCACCAGAGCCTAGCGGGGGGCGAGGCAGGATTCCCAAAGCCAGGGCAGGGACTGGGGAACCACAGCCCACCGTGGGTGCGTGGGTGTTCGTTGGCATTGACCAGCGCCAGCTACATGGGCCCTGTGCCTGGGTTTGCCACTGGGGCCTTGGGGAGCAGCCCTCATGCAGCGCCATTGGCAGCAGATGCTCGCTTTGCATGGGGGGGCTAAGCATGGGAGCGGGCTGGGGGCTACTGAACCACGGGTGGGCAGCTGGCTGCAGGCTGGGACAGGGGGGTTCCAGTGTGTTACTTCTCATGTGCTCCCCAGCCCACGCCCGGGCAGCACTGCAGCTGCTCCAGCCCCTCCAGGTCCCGTCTCGCCGCCCCCGC